CTGCCTCCSAAGGGCCCCACCCACCTAGCAGGGCCGGTAGGACTAGGGTCCTGGCAGCCACCCAGCTGGGGCCATCTGGGCAACACTCAGACAAGCACCCTGGCTAGAGACTGCCTGAAATCTCTATGGGCAGGAGGCAGACGTCCTAGAGAATCATGCCCCATCCAGCCACRCATCAGCTGTCCCAAGGAACATCAGACAGATCATGGGGAGACAACAGAGAATCCCCAAGTCCCAGCCAACCTCTGCCACTACCAAATGTTGGAGTTGATAACTGGGAGCTACCAGAGCAGCTTTCGGGCCTCCTTCTCTGGCTCCCTTCCCGGTCCTCACCCTCAGCCTCAAGATGGAGAAGGGAAGCCTGGGTGATCTACTTGCTGGACAGGTGGGAATCATCCTTCCGCTTTCCAGTTCTCCTAAGTTCTCTTCTTCAGAGGAGACCTGGTAGCCCCTCACCACCCTGGGACTGCCCCAGCCTCCCTGCTGTCTCACGCCAACCACAGGCCAAGTGTCACCTCCTCAGGCCTCTGTTGCCTCTGGAGCCTGCAGGATCAGCCACTCAGCAAATATTCTCCAGGAGTAATCGGATGTGATGGAACGAGGGCTTTTCAGCTCCTGAGTGAAAGTCTCTGGATRTCATTTAATGGCACAAAAAATAAAAGGCTCGGGCCTCCCGCCCACCACCACCAGGACATCATTAATCTCAGGAGAAAGGCATCAGCGCTTCTATCACCGCAGCCAGCTCCAGACGAGCCAGACAAATTACAGACCCGATCCGGGCCCTGTGTGGGGCGGTTATTAGGTTGGAGTTGAATTCTTGTTGTTTTCTTCAGGGCCACCGTCCCCTGACAAGAAGCAGTGCCCTGCCAAGTAGGAGAGTAGAGCAGGGAAGAGGGAGGAAGCCGTGGTTAGACAGGAGTCACCTGCCCAGGGGGACAGGGCAGCTGGGGGACAGGTGCCCAGGTCCCTCCAGAGCAGGAAGCCAAGCTCAAGGGCTCAAAACCTTGCCCCTTTGGGGGCTGGGGATGTGGCTCAAGCGGTAGCGCGCTCACCTGGCATGCGTGCGGCCCGGGTTCGATCCTCAGCACCACATACAAACAAAGATGTTGTGTCCGCCGAGAACTAAAGAATGAATATTAAAACTCTCTCTCTCTCTCTCTCT